TACCAAGGGTGGCGGGTTCAAACCCTGCCCTGGCCAAACTGCAACAAAAAATAGCCAGGCATTGTTGTGGCAGGCATCTGTAGTCCCAGCTACTGGAGAGGCTGAGGCAAGAGAATCACCTAAGCCCTAGAGCTGGAGGTTGCTGTGAGCTGTGACACCACAGCACTCTAAAAAGGGTGACGAAGTGAGACTCTGTCTCTAAAAAAGAAAGAAAGAAAGAAATGGGACGAGAAGGGCCCTGACTAAGCAGAGATTTGCTTGGGTGTTCTGAGGAGATAGACAGTTTGTGATAGAGAAATGAGGAGAGTTGAGTGACAAGACCAGAAGGTTAGGAAACCCAGGAAAAGGAGCTGAGGGAGAATTCAGACCCACATACTTACTGAGCATATTAAGGCCCCAAAGAGAGACTAGGAACCCAACAATTGCCAGCAAGATCTCCAGGTGGACTAGGGCTGCCCAAGAGCTCCAAAAAACAAAGCCAGCAGAGCAACAGGGCCACCAGGCCTAGCATCACATGGGGCCAAGAAAGAGGGAGAGCAGGCCAGGCATGGTGGCTCATGCCTATAATCCTAACACTCTGGGAGGCCAAGGTGGGTAGATTGCTTGAGCTCACAAGTTCATGACCACCTGAGCAAAAGCAAGACCCTGTGTCTACTAAAAATAGAAAAACTAAGGCAAGAGGATTGCTTGAGCCCAAGAGTTTGAGGTTGCTGTAAGCTATGACGCCACGGCACTCTACCCAGGGCAACAGCTTGAGACCCTGTCTCAAAAAAAAAGAAAAGAGAGGTAGAGCAATGCCTCGGGGGTAGGAGGAACCCCTGAAACAGCCCTGTGACCCCCAGGAAAACCGAAAGTGGCCCCTGCCTGTGAAGAAGCTGAGTTTGCCCCCCACCAAGCCACAGCTTTCTGAGGAACAGGCTGCTGTGCTGAGGGTCATCTTGAAAGGCCAGAGTGTTTTCTTCACCGGGAGCGCAGGTAGTGGGGGCAGAGTGGAGTGGGAGGGAGGGATGGGAGAAAGGAGGAGGTGGCCCTGACTTTGCCCCTTGTCCAGGGACAGGGAAGTCATACCTGCTGAAGCGTATCCTGGGCTCACTGCCCCCCACAGGCACTGTGGCCACTGCCAGCACTGGGGTGGCAGCATGCCACATTGGGGGCACCACCCTCCATGCCTTTGCAGGTAAGTGGAAGTCTCTGGGGCTTGAGCTAAGAAAAGTGAGGCCTGTGGGAAGGAAGGGAGGAGATTAGGGTTAAGAGGATGCTTGGGTCTTAGCCCAGGCTGAATAGTGTCCCTCACAGGCATCGGCTCAGGACAGGCTCCCCTGGCCCAGTGTGTGGCCCTGGCCCAAAGGCCAGGTGTGCGACAGGGCTGGCTGAACTGCCAGCGGCTGGTCATTGACGAGATCTCAATGGTGGAGGCAGACCTGTTTGATAAGCTGGAGGCTGTGGCCAGGTCAGTAATATACTGTGAGGGCTGGGTGGTTGTACTGTGTAGAACCCACCCACCCTAGCCCCTAAAGCACTCCATGCCCCTCTCTAGAGCTGTTCGGCAACAGAACAAGCCATTTGGAGGGATCCAGCTCATCATTTGTGGGGACTTCCTGCAGCTGCCACCTGTAACAAAGGGCTCCCAGCCCCCCAAGTTCTGCTTCCAGGTACCACTCACCCCCTGGCTCTGCCCCCCATGGGGGTCCGCTCTGTGACCTGACTCATCCCCACCCTATCTCCACTAGGCTAAGAGCTGGAAGAGGTGTGTACCAGTGACCCTGGAGCTGACTCAGGTGTGGAGGCAGGCAGACCAGACCTTCATCTCTCTGCTGCAGGCTGTGAGGCTAGGCAGGTGGGCCCTGGTGGATAAAGAAGGGACCATGGGGGTGGTACCTGTGGTTCAAAGGAGTAGGGCGCCAGCCCCATATGCTGGAGGTGGTGGGTTCAAACCCAACCCCAGCCAAAAACTACAAAAAAAATGAGAGACCATGGGATGAGGATCCACGCTTGGGTCAGAGTGGAACACAGGGAAGGTAGAGAAATGCTCATCCTTGAGACCAAGCAGTCTTTTAGAAAGAGAAGACTTGGGCAGGATACTGGGTGACCTAGGATAGATTGTAATCAAAAGCTTCATGGCCCTGGCAGCAGCCTACAGCTCAGTGGGTAGGGCACCAGCCACATATACCGAGGCTGGCAGGTTTGAACCCAGCCTGGGCCAGCTAAAACAACATGACAACTGCAACAACAACAACAAAAAATATCCAGGCATTGTGGTGGGCCCCTGTAGTCCCAGCTACTTGGGTGGCTAAGGCAAGAGAATCACTTACGCCCAAGAGTTTGGGGTTGCTATGAATGGTGACGCCACGGCACTCTACCCAGGGCGACAGCTTGAGACTCTCTAAAAAAAAAAAAAAAAAATGCTTCATGGCCCTGTAAGAGAAAGTCACTCTGAGCAGCACTGAGACCCAGGCTCCCCATCACACAGCATAGGGGCTGGCACAAAGATGGACATACAGAAGGAATTCAGAGATGTTAACGCCTCCATTTCATAGATACAGAAAATGGGGATCAAGAAGGTGAAGTGACTCACCCAAAGTCATGGCCAATAAGTTCATGGACTATGAACCGAAGTCTGGCCTTAAAGCCCAAGTTTGTTCTACTCTTAGAGGCCATGAGATGACTAGGTCGGGGAAGGAAGGTTGCAGACATGTTCTTCTTAGGACAAAAGATTGAAATGCCATAGCCACTCTAATGTGGGAGTAGAAAAGAGGCCAGGAGGGCATAAGATACATGCCAGAGCTGGGCCTTGAAAGACAGGTCAGGGCTGGCTCAGTGGCTCACACCTGTAATCCCAACACTCTGGGAGGCTCAGGCAGGTGGATGGCTTGAGCTCACAAGTTTGAGACCACCCTGAGCAAAAGTGAGACCCCGTCTCTACTAAAATAGAAAAACTGAGGCAAGAGGATCACTTGAGCCCAAGAGTTTGAAGTTGATGTGAGCTATGATGCCGTGGCTTGAGACTCTGTCTCAAAAAAAAAAAAAAAAAGAACAGGTCAGGTTGGGGCTAGGATAAGGGCAGTGTAGTGGCCACAAGAGACTTTCTATGCCTGGGGCCCCCTAGCACAGACAGAAGACAGACAGGAAGGGGTATAGCACACACTGGGGGACCAGAAGAAGGCCGAGTGGCAGATCAGGTAGAGACAATTCCATGATGCCATGCTGTTCCCCTCCACACACTTGAGTTGCTGCTATGCCCAGGCTTCTAGGTTTGGAAGAAGACTTGAGATTAGAGAGAATAGAAACTAGGCTGAATTTTTCTTTTCTTTTCTTTTCTTTTTTTAGAGACGGAGTCTCACCTTGTCACCCTCAATAGAGTACTGTGGCGTCACAACTCATAGCAACCTCCAGCTCTTGGGCTTAGGTGATTCTCTTGCCTCAGCCTTCCAAGTAGCTGAGACTACAAGCGCATGCCAAAAGACCCGGCTATTTTTTTGTTGCAGTTTGGCTAGGACCAGGTTTGAACCTGCCACCCTCACTATATGGGACTGGCGCCCTACTCACTAAGCCACAGGCACTGCCTAGGCTGAATTTTGCACCCAAGGCAACAGGCAAATGGCTAGAAGATTGTACCCTAGAGGCTGAACTGATTATAGATTACCCAGGATTACAGGGTGTCCGCATCAGCATCAGCCTCTTGTCCCGGTCCTAAAAACCTCAGGCCAGTGCTTGTTCATCACAACCACAGGAGCAGTGTAGGGAGGATGGCCAGCTCTGACTTGGGAACAGCAGCAGGAAAGGTACCCACCTGTGATCACAGCCTAGTACCCTCATTACCACACCATAGTGTCCAAGCTGGGGAGAGACAGGATGACAACTTAGGGGCCAGCAAACCTTGCTCTGGTACCCTTTTCCAGTCCCAAGGCCTGACCCATGGCCTGCTGCTTGGGCCATACTGCACATCTTCCCCACTTTCCCTGCTGTTTGCGTGAGCTCTGTCCTGACAGCCTAGCCCCCACAGGTGCACAGATGAGGTGACTCACCAGCTCCAGGCCACAGCCACCAATAAGGTGGGGCGGGATGGGATTGTGGCCACGAGGCTCTGTACCCACCAGGATGACGTGGCCCTCACCAACAAGAGACGGCTTCAGGAGCTGCCAGGTGAGCAGGGAGCTGGGTTGGGCAAGACCAGGCAGGAGGGGCCATCAAGCAGGCGTGGCAGCCCAGGCCCACAGTATCATTTAGATTATCTAGGTCCCAACCTCTGTGGGACCTCTTTGCAGATGTAACTGTGACTTTTTTTTTAATTTAATTTAATTTTGGCTCAGTACCTATGGCTCAAGTGGCTAGGGCGCCAGCCACGTACACTTAAGGTGGCGGGTTCGAATCCAGCCCGGGCCCGCCAAACAACAATGATGGCTGCAATCAAAAAATAGCTGAGCGTTGTGGCAGGCACCTGTAGTCCCAGCTACTTGGGAGGCTGAGGCAGGAGACTCGCT